CAGGGAAGTCTTTTTTGTTACTGTTGCCATTTTGCATTTGAACCATCACACCTGTACTATACCAAGTACGGTAATATTACGTTGCGTGTGACATATAGTAACTGAGAAAAAGATAGTACGTTATTTCTCATGGAGGATCCCGGAATATAGATTAAATTTTGGAAACATATCAACGTACGTATATCTGAAAGACAGCTTTATTTTTGATTCATAGCTATTGCGATTATCGAATTTGTTAAATGTTCGGAAACGGATGCAGGTGAGAATACATCAATGGGACCCACAATTGTCTGCATAAATGGTACACTACAAAAAACTTCAAAAATGACTTACCCTGGTATGTCAACGCAAATCCCAAGTCTGTATTCATATCTGAGTTGGAATAAAATTGTAACCACAATATATTTCCAGAACTGTACACTGTCATGCTGTTCCATGTAATCTGTGGTGCCGTTACGTCATCACCATCTCTTATATCCAGGTAATCACCAGTACTTATCTTAGCCATCAATATACTAAGCTGAATTATATGGTTGTCTTCAACTGTAATTGTCCATATACAATTCTGGTTATCTGGATACTTGCCGGGAAAGTTTGGGGAATATATATAACCACTGTCACCAGTGTACTGTCCTCCACATGCACCGATAGTAGCTGTAACAGAATTGATGTCGATATACATTTATCCTTCACTATTTATATTAAATTATTATAAAAAGAACTCACACTAATTAATGTTATAACACATAGTTGAACAAACAATGTAGATAAATTGTAATTTGAAAACAAATAATGAATCTTCCCTTATTTGGAAAATTGTTCCATTCTAAATGTCATAACAACAATGTAGAATAGAACCAAGTAACTGAATAGGCTGTTAATCGAGGGCAGTAATGTTGTGATGTGAGCCACTACTGTATTGTATGTGTATGGTGAACTCAGAAAGCATATTTGACCTCGGATTCGCCTCGGTAAACAATGCTCACATCGGGTCGACAAACCTGTCAAGGGCCTATTTCTATAATATAATATGTCTTGCATCACAATTATATGATCTACACATTTGTGAAATCTCGGACCTAACTAAGGATTCTCCATGTGAAGACAATCGGCACGTTTATTTCACATTATTCTTTATGTGAATTGAAATACGTTAATAACGTCCCTTTCACAAAAAGAGATTTACCAATTAAACTTACTATCATAGACATCTAATTGGTAATCACCACCACATCCTTGTATGTAAGGTTCAGTACCATTATCTCCACTACATTGTAGGGTACCATAGAATACATATTCGTTGATCATCTCTCCAGGCACAGCTTCACCGTATTGCTGGTAATCAGTGTCGTCATCACCACAGTAACATTCATCTGCACTGGCAAGTACTGCTATTGGTTTAGAGTTGTCTCTACATGTCTGGATGCATCCTTGAATTGTGGTAATAGAGTTTCCAATAGTGTACATGTTTGATGATGTTTGGAATATTCTGTTTGGATTTCCTTCTTTGTAACGACCTAGAAAACCTGGAACTAAAATGTAATAGTATGTGATTAATTTAATTAATAATGACTTTAACGTTTATGAATAATATTATTTTAGCGCTTTAAGCAAATATTTACATATGTACTGGAATAAATTAAGGTTTGTCTGTTTTCAGTTGTGAAAAACTCTTCACATTTAATTTGATACAAAACATTTATTTATTTAAGCTATAAGTCCATGTATATAGCCTTCCCCCTTTTTGTTACATGTTAAGTGTGATTATAATCATCTGTATTAACTTCATCAGTAGTAGTGTTCTCTCCATAATATATATCTAATATAGTTACTGTAATGTACTTATTACTAAGAGAAATACATATGACACTGAGTTAACTAATCTTAACAACTCAAACCGTAAAAATGATTTTTTACGGTCCAGAATCAATATTTACAATTTAAAAATACTTACAATAGCAGGTAACTCCAGCATGCTTATCTTGACAATTATTACAAGACCCAGTACTAGATATTGTACAGTTATTAAGTGACGTGGCTGATACGTCACAACTGATACCACATTCACTCACTGGCAGATTACTGACACCATATTTACTGTTACTCCACGTCCACATGGCATCTACAAAACCTAGATTCGAAAATACATTTATTATTAAAAAAATAATTGTAGTCTAGAAGCATGACATAATGAAATTTTACAATATTTATATTTCACATATTTCTAAAACGAAAACAAGTAACAAATATGCATATTACCTAATTGTTTACACACAACCCGTGCTTCCATGGAATCCCATTTCTGTGCATTCATAGCACATACCATTCCCCATTCACCATTGTCTCTTCTTATCTCTACTCTTCCTTGGAATGGTGTCTGACCCCCTGATAGTCTCACATCAACTGAAACATAGAAAACCTGTGTATTTATATAAATAATATATCACACGTAATTTCATTTTTAAATTACTGCATATTGAAAACCAACATGTTGTTTTTGATTCATTACATTGATGTGGATTTTACGAATATTCATGTACCAAGAAAGGCAAGCTTTTGATAGCAACAAGAGTCAAATAATCCAATTTGTATGTGGTGTGTTGTGCTAGCAGTTATGTTTAATTTCAATTTAAACTATCAAGCCTACAGTGCCTTAAAAGACACAACGCAATGAAGACCGAAACTGAAAACTGAAAGGATCCGCTCCTTGGAAACATGACGTAAGCAAAATGTCGGTCGTTGGGGCTTGAATAATAATTGTAGCTTATTGGTAACATTAATCATTGTTTTTATTAAACATAAACACGTAATTGCATTCCACTGCACGTGTTAATAAGGGCCAAAAATGTGTCTCTATTTAAGTTGGCAATGCAGTGTTTTGAATTAAAACAGCTATAAAATAGACCCTTGAATACAAAAGCTGATAGTGTGTGTGTGTGTGTGTGTGTGTGTGTGTGTGTATGTGTGTGTGTGAGGGGGGGGGGGGGTACCAACTCAGCTGGTAGGAATTCTTATTGAATCTACACTTCATTAACTAGCTTGTGTATTGTCTTCAACCCAGTCATAATTTGAGCTTTTATGTGTGTTTAAGTCAGTATTTGAGTCGACACATCATTGTCAACTGCCACTTTGATGTCTCATTCAGTTTTTAGAAATTTAATTGTTAAGCGCGATTAAGTGTTTGTCATCGAAAACAGAGGTGATAGTAAAGATAGTCGACATGTCATGTGACCTCGTTTAGGGGTTAAGATCGTAATCACTCTGTATCATTGCTGCGTTTTTTGTAAAAATAAATAACTTATGTCAATAATAATCAAATCATTATAATGGATGTGAATAGCACTTCTCATTGACTATTCATCGATATACTTGAATGCGCAAGCAAGTGTACTGAACTAATTTACACACCGTGAAGTTGGGCGTGTAGATATACGGTGACTAAAAAAATCAGCACAACATAGTTATTACAGTAGTTATCACAATGTGTTTAACAAGATGACAGGCATGCGTTTCTAAATAGTTCACTATATGGTTCAGCAAACATTTTTACTCGTTTTACTTCCGCATTCGAACTTACAGACTCGACGTTCCCAACTAATTGATAAATACTGACACGATTGTAAAATATAAAGAATAAATAGTATTACCTTGTGTATGTG